AACACTAAAGAATGTTTTAACCTATAAATAAATAATCACTGAAAGAGGGTGGTGAAAACTGCTGAACAATAACTATATTTTGCTGACAAACGCATAATGATAGTCCTAAAAGGGACCATTGGGTTTCTGAATTGTTGTGTTACTGGCCAGTTTGAATCTGAGGGCTTTAGCTTTATTTTTTTGTATGTGTAAACCTTCCTATAGCTTTTAGATCTGTTGTGGCTGAAACTTCCATCTATCAATTCAAATCTATTGCTGCTTGATAAAATATCAGGTTGTCACAGTCAAAACTACTTATAGTGCTACTTTACCCATAACAACTTGATAAAAATAATGTTCGTTAGCAAGGAGCAAACATTCCACGTTAATAATTATGCTACTAAAATAATTGTGTGCTGTAAATTGCCTGGAGTATTGCTCCTGTTTCTTCTTGCTGGAGGCTGCCATTTTGCTGAAGCCTAGAGCCTCTGGACAGTGATGAATCATAAAATGGAACTAGACCCATTGATTTAATGATTTCAAAAAACAGTTACATTCCTGGAATGCAGGGATTGCTAACTGTCACATTTGTTTGTGTCCTCAACCGAACTGTCAAACCATCAAAAGACTGGTGTCATAACTGATCACATGTGCAGCACCATGGCAGTTGCAGATCAAACAGAAGCAGCTTCCTTGGCTGTATAGGATAGGAGGGTTTAATTCCGCTATAAGACTGTCAGCAATTCAGCCTCTACAAATTCGGCAGTGCATATAAATGCCTAAACATTGAGCGCAATTGAGCATGCGCAGAGTAGGGTGAGACAGTGTATTATTGAATGTTACACAGAATAGACACTTATTTTAATTTTTTTTTACATAGCTATACGTGCAAAAGGGGCTAGCACGAAGTGATCCAGCAGGACTTAATTTTCTGACTAAAACCACTTTAAAAAAAGATGTTTTTTTCCAAGCTGAAATAAATCAGATCAGGGTGCTGTTGCTGTATTTAGACCTAAGTAAATGTAAAAGGTAAAAATCAATCACATATCCAATATATTTGATGTCAAAATACAATATGTCTGTCTCTGTCTGTGAAAATTGTACTGTTCCATAACTCCACATAAAGCTTAAAGGCATCTCCCAAGCATGTAATTTAAAGGTCTGGTGTTTTCTTCCTATGCCACCCTCAAATTCATATTAAAAGGACTCTCTTCCTGCTGTTTGGTATTTTTTTTATAATTTTTTTTATTTTTAGCTTTGCTAAATGTTCTCAATGGCAGTACTTGGCTTCTCATTACTTTTTTTTAACATCTTGCCTTTTAGTGTTGAAAATAGGCAAAATTATCAAAATCAAAATTGCCTTCCTAGCCACCCCACCCCACCCAATATAGCTCATTATAGTTTGCTTCTTTGGGTTTTGTGAATTTTAGGCTTCAACAAACCACCAGTAAATTGAACCTAGGACAGACAGACCCATGCTATCTTTTCTTTTAGACTCCACTTCTGAACCATTTGTGATACGCTGAAGGCCATCCCAACTTGTGTTATTACTCATGGCCAGCTTACTTGCATAAATTCTATCTGGTGTGTCTGGTGTACTGTGCTGGTATTTCTGAGGAGGAGAGGGACTACACATTCTTTTTGATTAATTTTTAAAAATGTAAAATTGAATCCAGCAGTAGACTGCCTGATATTGGTAGATATACTGTACACTGGGAACAGATCAGCTAGATCAGATCATTTTCTCATCTGTAAATTTGATTCTGGAAAGTTTTGTTTCTTATTCTGCTGTATTCTAGATATAATTTCAATGCAACAGTTGTTCATATTCTACAGTGTGGAGGTATGGGAGTCTGCATTTTGTCTAGTGCTATCATATGACTATAAATCTAGAATTTATGATCTGTGACATGCCCATATCACCTGATTTAAAATATAACAAGATATAAAAATGTTAACGTTGTTGGTCATAGATGCCCTCCTAAAATTATTAGTTTGTCTAATGTTACCAGCATTTATTGGTTTCATCTTTATAGGTCTACAAGATGAGCAGCTTTCCTATATTTCTGTTTTGTTGACAGTTCATTTCACAAGGAACCTTCAGTACTGAGGAGTCATGGTTCATATAATAGATGCCACATAAAGAAATACGTTACTGATAATTATGCACAATCATCAGGATATAAGCTATGAAATATAGTTGCGTGGAATACTGTGAAATCGATGTGAGCTCAGGCTGAACAAGACATATTGATTTCTGCTCTGTACTCATTTCACAGGCTGCCTGTATTGTCTCAGACTGCAGAATTCTGCAAAAAGGAAAATGAACAATAGACAAATCTCTATAATAGATTGCCGACAAATGATTGTTTTGTTTCGCTTCAGTGATACAGAAAAAAAACGTGAATTATCTAAATGAAGCCATACTTTCCTCATATGGCTGTGCTAGTAGCAAATATTGCTCCGTCTGTTCTTTCCTGTCTCATGTTAATTAAAAAGAAATGGCTAGGACAGAGTTTTGACAGCTGATATTGCTGAGTAGTTTTTAAAGCTTCTTGAACTACAATCTTCATTGTAATATATTGCAGTTTACCAATTTGGCTGCATTTTCTTTTTTTATAGGTTTTTCCCTTTATTTCACCTAGTGCTCCTGCCAGTAACACACTCCCTGTCTTAGGGAGTTTTGAATGAAGTAGTAAAGCAGATGCCTTTGGACAGCAGCATTGCAGGTCTTGGGGAGGGTAGTGTTAGACTAGCAGATTTACATGGAGCTTACTACCAAATTAAAGTTGAACTCCAGCTAACAGTTCTAACAGTTACAGCAGTAAGCAATTACAGCAAACATTTGGGATAAAGGTTTACTTAAGTGAATAAAAGCTGACAATTGTAAGCACCCCTGCCAGTGTTAAATGGTTTATCTCAAACCTCTAAATACTACTTTGTCTGGACAGCTTGGTCTGTTAAAGTAAGTTGGATAATAACATACTTACTGGCTGGATCACCAGGTGAAAATAAAGGAAAAAAGCCTTTAAAAAAAAACAAAACAAAATGAATGCAGCCACTACCAAATGGTGAGTTTCAAGTTAATACTGTTACTGCTAGGGAATTGGCTTGCCACCACAGTCTGTTGTTACTGACTATCCAGCTTTGCCTGGCTGTATATCCAGTACACATACATCCCTGAGGTGATTGTAGCTGTATTAGTACACTTGGAACTAAACAGAACAAATACACAAATAGAGTCCACATAGAGGAGATCAGAGGGAGGCTTTATTCAAGTCAGCAGCAATTACAGCAGTTACTGCTGCCCACGCCACCACACACCACCCCATTCCTAAGATATTCTCCCCAGAAGTTAGCTGGGAAACCAAGAGTGCTGGAAGTATTGATCTCCTGGATTCCCTGCAGCTCTTACTATTTCCTCCTGCTGACCTCCACTTCACTACTGAGTCCTATATTGATATGGAATTCAGCAGGAAGAACCTGTAAAAACCACAGGGACAGCTTTTAATTTCTGAGCTGAGATGTGGCATCAGAGATTATACTGTTACAGGGTTATCGGTGACCTGAGTGCGAGGTATGACAAAGATGCAGTCTGCAGTATCTGTATCAAGAGGAGAGCACAAACACATGTTGCTCACTTGCTCATTCCTAGTTTAATGTGTTAAATAGAAAGGGATCACATTATACAGATAATTACTTTCTTTATAGCGTCAGCACAGGCAACATGGAAACGTGCAATAATTTGTATTAGAGAATTATCATTACTATATATAGGATATTAAACAGAGAAAATGATTGTCAGAAAAACAGGAAACAGAACTAAACTAACATAAACAAAGTTTGACTAACCTGTAGCAAGAGGGAGCACAAACACATGTTGCTCACTTGCTCATTCCGAGTTTAATGTGGGCTTGTTGGTATTGGTCTCCTGATGTCACACTACAATCATTAGAGCTCCCTCTAGGCTGCAGCTTAGTATAGCATTACTGGAAGGTGTATTCATTTACTTGCTACAATGCAATCATGAAAATTATAGTGCTTGTGCTGTGCTCAAGAATGTCTTAACGCACCCTTGCTGGAGCCTCCCGCCTTCTGAATCGCTAAAAAGTGGAACTGTTATTGTCTGATCACTGGTGGAGAGGAGACTGGGAAAATGCTCCTTACTGTATGTAGACTACTGATGACATCATACCAGTCAAAGTTTTCAGTGTTATCAATAAATACAAAATTCATATAGAGCAATATAGTGGTACATAGAACATAGTGACCGCAACAGACACCAATGAAAACAGGAATTGAAAGAGGGAGGCAAAAATACAGGAGGATGTCACATAAAATAGAGAATACCCAGTATGGTATCTTGAGCAATTAGAAGTCTTTACAGAATGCCCACAGTTATTACAGTTGAAAAATAAATAGAAAAGGCACTGAGTTCAATGGTGAGGTATATTGGTGGTGACAAATTATAGGGCGGTTGCCAACCTGCCATTGTGCACAGGAATGGAATTTCCCTATGACAGGATGGGGACATGCACAATCACAGGGAATAGGGAAACCATGGATGAGTTGGAAGGGAAGGGGTGGTTAACAAGGGAGGGTGAACAGAGGGAAAGGGTAATTCTGGGATATAGAAATAAGGATGATAAAAAGTAGAGCTTTTTATGAAAACAATACTGTTGCTGTATATTGTGGTATGTCTGGAATTTATTCATGCATACTTGTAAAGATACTGAAAGGTCAACTTTAAATAAACATAAAATCATAAAATTTGAGGCAGGGATGTTGTCACCAGCCCACAGAACTTGTCATGTATTCCATGAAAGATTTGTTGTAATGGTTAAAAACACAAAAACACCTCCAGTTTGACATGGTCTGGCCTGGCATAAACACCTCAGTTCCCATTCAGTTGTCTTCAAATAACTCTAAATAATGTATAACTTTTTCCTTAAAATACAGTCTTTATAACATATGTGTATTTCATTTATTTTGCTAAATTACTTTCACTTTGCTTTGATTAGGTTAGCAAAACTGGAGCTGAAGGTTCTGTTTTGGATGAAGCCAAGAACATCAACAAGTCTTTATCTGCTCTGGGAAATGTCATTTCATCCCTGGCAGAAGGATCAGTAAGTGTCAAATACACTGTATAAACAGAATAACTAGTAAAGGTGGTTATCACTGTATAATATGGAAACATATTTTTTAAAAGGTAAGTTTTTGAAAGTTTATAAAAAGAACATCATTCCATATGTATGCAACCAAATCAATACAGTGATTTGTATATGACAGTAAAAAACTGATTACTGTACATTTTTGTGTAAACAATGGAATGGGGGTTCATACTGTAAGTACAGATTGCATTTATCTATGTACAGCATTAACAACACAAAAACATAAAATATCTCCCTGAGTAATAAGTTTAAAAGGCTAAAAGTAAAACCTATTTGGCTCATGTCCAAAGTAAAAAAAAAAGTCATAAAGAATAAGAAAGGGGCATGTACAAAATGAAGGAACACTATTGTCATTTGAAAGTTACAAAGAATGTATAAAACTTTATAAAAAGGAAATCAAGGCCGCAGAAATTTTAAATGACAGGTTGCAAAAAAGAGAGTAGTACAAACCCCTAAAAATTCTCCAAATATAAAAAAGGTCAGGTCTGAACATGTAAGCCCTTTACAAGATAACGCAGAGTTGGTGACTGGGGACAATAAGAAGGCACATTATTAAATGCCTTTTTTCTGTGTATACAAAGGAAAATGGGGAGTCCATAACTAGGATAGTATTCAGGGGCGGACTGACCACTTGGAAACTCGGGCACTGCCCGAGGGCCCGGGGTCAGTAGGGGGCCCCATGAGATGCCCCTGGTACCTTTTTCATAGGCTTTTTTGAGTTTGGGCAAGGACACAGGGGCCCCATGATCCCCTATTGCCCGGGGGCCCCATGAGTTGTCAGTCCGCCCCTAGTATTGACATATCCCTAGAATAACCACAAAATTGATATGGTCCAGAAACATTTAGACAAAGGTGAATGAAACACCTGGACCAAATAGCTAACATCCAAGTGTCCTCAAAGAGTTGAGCTCTGGTATTTCCATATAAGCCATTTTTCTAATTTTCAGAAAATCTTTAATGCCTGGCCAGTGAGGAAGAAATTTGAGAGTTTGATAAATGCTAAACTGCAGTTACTAAAGCAAGCAAAATTCTATCTTGTATTGAAAGAGGTATAAACTCCAGGGAGAGAGGGACATAATTTTACCCCTGTACAAAGCATTAGTAAGATCTTACCTGGAAAATGCAGTTCAGTTTCGGGCACCAGGATATCAGGGAACTGGAGAAAGTGCAGAAAAGGGCAACCAAAATGATAAGAGGCATGGAGGAGCTCAGCTATGAGAAAACATTAACTGAACTGAATTTATTCTCTCTTGAGAAGGATATTTTCACATTGTATAATATATAAGTGGTTCATATAGTGAATTTGGTGTAAAGTTATTCACTTTAAGGTCCTTACAAGGGAGAGGAGGGCACTCTTTACATTTAGAAGAAAAAATATTTAGCATTTATATACGAAAAGGCTTCTTTACAGTAAGAGTTTTTAAAAGTGTGGAATAGACTCCCTCAAGATCCAGTTCTGGTCAGCCCAGAGAATGGAGCTGAATGTATTCCAAAATGCACAAAATATAACTGTTATTATTAACCTATTATATTAACGATTATAGGTAATAACACAAGAGATTTCAGAGATGTAATTCCATATACCTATGTTAGCTGATATAAGGGTAGAGTTTTGTTTATAGCTGATTTCCAGCTACCTACTATGAAGGGATCAGAACGTTTCCATTTTATAATATTTTCCCCTTGGCACAATACGTATTCTTCATAAGGAAATAATGTTTATGTAGTAGGGAATATTACATCATCTAGCATGCCCAAAAGGAGAACAGACGGTGTAGTCAATAAGCCTGCTTATGACCTCAACTACACTATATTGCCAAAAGTATTGGGACACCCCTCCAAATCATTGGATTTGTGTGTTCCAATCACCTCCATGGCCACAGGTGTATAAAATGAAGCACCTAAGCATGCAGACTGCTTCTAAAAACATTTGTGAAAGAATGAGTCTCTGTTAGGAGCTCAGTGAATTCAAGCGTGGTACCATGATAGGTTGCCACCTGTGCAATAAGTCCATCCGTGAAATTTCCTTGCTGCTAAATATTCCACACTCAACTGTTAGTGGTATTATACCAAAGTGTAAGCAGCTGGGAACAACAGCAACTCAGCCACGAAGTGGCTGAGCGGAGTTAGTGCAAGCTGAAGCGCACAGTGCACAGAAGTTGCTAATTGTCTGCAGAATCAATAGCTAACAACCTCCAAACTTCATGTGGTTTGCAGATTACCACAACAACAGTGCATAGAGAGCTTCATGGAATGGGTTTCCATGGCCGAGCAGCCGCATCCAAGCCTTACATCACCAAATACATTGAAAAGCGGCAGATGCAGTGGTGTAAAGCACACTGCCACTGGATTCTAGTGCAGCATAGATGTGTTCTTTGGAGTGCAGAATCACACTTCTCTGTCTGGCAATCTGATGGACAGGTCTGGGTTTGGCAGTTGAATGACACTTGCCTGACTGCATTGTGCCAAGTGTAAAGTTTGGTTGAGGGGGGATTATAATGTGGGGTTGTTTTTCAGGGGTTGGGCTTGGCCCCTTGCTTTGTGGGAACAGTTTGGGGATGTCCCCTTCCTGTTCCAACATGACTTCTCACCAGTGTACAAAGCAAGGTTCAAAAAGACATGGATGAGCAAGTTTGGGGTGGAGGAACTTGATTGGCATGCACAGGGTCCTGACCTCAACCCGATAGCACACCTTTGGGATGTATTAGAGCAGAGACTGTGAGCCAGGCCTTCTCGTCCAACATCAGTGCCTGACCTCACAAATGCGCTTCTGGAAGAATGCTCGAACATTCCCATAGACACCCCTAAACCTTGTTGACAGCCTTCCCAGAAGAGTTAAAGCTTTTATAGCTGCAAAGAGTAGGCCAACTCCATATTGAACCCTACGGACTAAAACTGGGATGCCATTAAAGTTCATGTGCGTGTAAAGGTAGGAGTCCCAATACTTTTGGCAATATAGTGTACATTCATCAGAAGGTGTGGATGCAGGGAAAGGTTCCTACAATAAAGGAGCCTAAATCTGAAGCTTATCTATTACATGTCTATGTAGGGTATAATATGTAGAAATTTAAGTTGAGAATATATTCTTGTTGGTTTTCATCCCATTATTCTATAGTGAAAGAGAAGGAAGATCCAGCTGCCCGAGTTAAAATACTCGTGTAAGTCTGGGGAAGTCTGAAATTGATAATCATAGGTTTAGGAATTAAAAGAGTTTGAGGGGTCTGTCCATGATCAGAAAGGTTTCTGATGTTAACTGGTGTGCGGAACCTACCTTTCTGAGCTAAAGAAATGCCTCCTCGTCCCGTACCTGTATATTTACCCAAATTGAATGACTGCATGCCACACATATAAGCTTTCCACATATTCACAGTTTATCCCTTTAGAAATCTGCTGAGCATCTCCTGTGTTTGGAGATGGACCCATAAAAGTTTGTAGGGATCAACTGTGCAGGCATTTCCAAAAGACAGAAGATTTTAGCCCATTAAGATTCCTGCAGACCATGGGCATCCAATTCTGGTAAATATACACCAAGTAGGTATTCTTTAAATACAGTTAATGTTACAGTTTCTTACAGTTATGTAAATCTGTCATGAGAGAAATGTGAATACTGCCATTGCTAATGTGTCCTTCTGAAAATGCTATTTGCAAAGTTATCTTGTTGAACCTCTTGCTGCAATATTTTGATTTGTTGACCCACAATAATACAGATAAAGAGTTTTCTGATATTTTCTTGATCTGCATACCTGTTTGTGGGCATTGACTGAGAAGGTGAGCAAGCAGCCAGAAATCTAGCATTTTCAGGAGATCAACATTTGCAATCCCTGTATTTCTATCATGACTTCACATGAAGCATTTACTTTAATGCTTCTGAGTTAGAAGTGTGTAGAACCTGTTATAAAATTATTGCTATAAAAAATTAATGAATTTATATGGAGTGGCATCTGCAGTAGTTTTTGATTTTATGTAAGTAATAATGTAATTAGGTATAATTTGCTTGTTAAATGGTTTGTCAACCTAGAGTACTAGTACAAATATGACCAGGAGTGGAGATAATTCATATTCTCATATAATCATCTCTACACTAATATACAACCTGACAAACTGCATGAGAAATCTTGGTTTTCCTGTAGTGCAGTAAACTTTCAAACTGGACAACTGTGTTAAAGAGGTTTGCCTTAGGCTGTCCCCCAGTAAAATGCCTGATACATGTGCATAGCACATTGTACTTAGGTGACAATATGTGAGGAAAAGGAAGGGTGTGAAAATTCCTATCAACATCTACTACATGTTGAAAGCTGTACAATGTCATATCAACATCACATTTAAAGCATTGACTTTTTTTAATGTGTTTTAGAAAGGATATGTTCCCTACAGAGATAGTAAGATGACCCGAATCCTCCAGGACTCCTTGGGCGGAAATTGCAGGACAACTATGTTTATCTGCTGTTCTCCATCCAGCTACAATGATGCAGAAACCAAGTCAACACTTATGTTTGGTCAAAGGTAACAGAATGCCAAGTTAACTGTGTTGTTCAATAGCAAGGCTGTTTGTCTGACTACATTCATTAAAGCCAAATAGCAGATAGTGATGCTATGGTTTTGATTGAGGGGTGAAGAGTAGAAACCTTTGTTTTTTTCTTGCTGTCTGTGACACCATTGAGAAGAGTTCAAGTTGAACTATAGGGAAAACTTTTTTCATTTTGGATAACATAAGGGAGGGTTATAACCCTTGTCAGGTTTTTTTGCCATCTGTGTCCAATTGGGGATATTTACTTTCACTTTCTGGCCTATATCTAAAATAAAAAGTGACAGGAAATCCCTGCGAGTTAAGGGAATTCAATGAGGCAGCAGAACTATTGTCCCCATTGGAAGATTCTTTTATACTGTTCTGGGGACAACCCAAAATTTAGGATTTTCTGTTACTTTCAAGTGATTCTAAAGGTTATTTTTTTTTCTTTAAACTAACAAACATGTCATACTTACGAGATTACGTACATAGAATGCATGAAAGTAAAAAACCTTCACCCTTTGCAACCACTTTCACTTTTTACGATAATGATAAACAGGAGAGGTTGAATCTCAGGGGCACAGACAGCAATAAAAACCTGACAGGTGTTCTAATCCCTTTCCACTCTGTCCAAAAACTGTTGCCTTCAATTATACTTACTTCATAGCCTCACCTTCTTTTCTTTTGCAATCAGATAAAGACAGTGAAAAACATATCATAGTTACAATATGACCAGTTTTTATCCACTGCCATTATTAATTCTGAAACATTTGAGGTTTTCAAAGGACAAATCATTAACTGTTTAGGAGAAGCTTACACCTGCTCTGTTATCTACATCCATATTAGCTGTATAATTTTCAGGTTGCAAGGGAGTATTGTAGCCAAAAATAACAGCTAATGCTTACTAGTGCAAGCAAAATTAGGCACAAAATGTCACCCAAATTTTCCAACTTTTTTAATATAGTCCTTATATTTTACCTACTGTATGTTTTCAGTGACACAGGAGAAAAATATGCTAGGAGCTGCAAATTACCAACCTGGTCAGTGTATTTATTCCTCTGTCAGTGGTGTCCTGAACTCATTTCGCTGTGATCTTTCTTACTCTAGATACCCTTTTAATGATTGCCTGTACCTATAGAGGTGTATTATGGTGGTCTACTGCCTTAGCTAAAGCTGAGCTAGTAATCATTGTTTGGTTGTGGTATTTTGTCTCTTCAATCTAAGCCTTCTGATATCATTCTGTTCTTCTAGTTGAATAATATTTTAATACAGAATGTTTATTATAACACTCTCTATAGAGCCAAGACCATCAAGAATACTGCATCAGTCAACCTGGAGCTGACAGCAGAGCAGTGGAAGAAGAAGTATGAGAAGGAGAAGGAAAAGAACAAGACCATGAAAGAGACCATTCAACGGCTGGAGACTGAACTCAGTCGCTGGAGGAATGGTAAGGAATAGCCCCCTTTAAAAAAAAAAAAAAAAAATATATATATATATATATATATATATATATTATTAACATGTTGCAGGGAAAGAACAAATTACACTTTGTTGGGAAAGTACAAAATACACGCTCTTAATGCAGCTTGATTGAGGGGGGGGGGGGGGTGAACATTTGTAAGCTATTATAGCTATTTCCAGAAACAAGAGGGTATGCAGGGTCTAGGTGTGTTAATGAAGTGAATTATTAGTGAGCATAAGTATGTTTTCCATGGCATGGTATTGTGATGGAGTAGGAAAAAAGATGGGTCCTGAGGTATATGGTAGTCTCTAAACCTTTGGATGATTGTTGTGACCCCATCCAGAGGTCTCAGTGTTTGGGGTAGAAGAAGTAGATATTTGTTCTGAATTATTAGTGAGCATAGATATGTTTTCCGTGGTATGGTATTGTGATGGAGTAGGAATAAAGATGGCCCATGAGGTAGTATGTAAACCTTTGGATGATTTACCCCATTCAGAGGTCTCAATGTTTGGGGTAGTAGAAATAGTGATGCAAGGAGGAGAGGAGGAAGTGATGTAGTTGTAAAGTTCTCCAAAACCCCAATGGTGCAAAGGTAGGGTAATTTATTTCTGATATCATAGGTCATGAAGGGTATATGTTAAAATGTAGTTAATTGTCTTTCTGGCATTCGTCATGTTTTGAAAGACCTGAATTGTCAGGCCTAAGAAAAAATTCTGGTTGCCTATAACAAGATAGAGTGGCAATGGTGAGGGCAAGATATTTTATAGGGAGGAATGTTTAGGGAATACAGTACATACTGTATAAACTGATTCCCATAGTTGGGTGATCATGCATGTCTTTAGGTAGGTCTTCAGCACAGCATGGAAAATTTTGAAGTGGGATAACATTTATTGCTCATTCTACACTATATTGCCAAAAGTATTGGGACACCTGCCTTTACACTCACATGAACTTTAATGGTCCCAGTCCATAGGGCCCAGTATGGAGTTGGCCCACCCTTTGCAGCCATAACAGCTTCAACTCTTCTGGGAAGACTGAACACAAGGTTTAGGAGTGTGTCTGTGGTAATGTTTGACCATTCTTCCAGAAGCGCATTTGTGAGGTCAGGCACTGATGTTGGACGAGAAGGCCTGGCTCGCAGTCTACGCTCTAATTCATCCCAAAGGTGTTCTATTGGGATGGGGTCAGGACTCTGTGCAGGCCAGTCAAGTTCCTCCACCCCAAACTTGCTCATCCATGTCTTTATGGACAGTGCTTTGTGCACTGCTGCGCAGTCATGTTGGAACAGGAACGTCCCCAAATTGTTCCCACAAAGTTCGGAGCATGAAATTATCCAAAATTAAATAATTCCCTTCACTGGAACTAAGGGGCCAAGCCCAACCCCTGAAAAACAACCCCACACTACAATCCCCGATCCACCAAACTTTACACTTGTCAAACTGCAGTCAGGCAAGTACCATTCTCCTGGCAACCGCCAAACCCAGACACATTTATCGGATTGCTAGACAGAGAAGCATGATTCGTCACTCCAGAGAACATGTCTCCACCGCTCTAGCATCCAGTGCTGGCGTGCTTTACACCACTGCATCTGACTTCTTGCATTGCACTTGGTGATGTAAGACTTGGATGCAGCTGCTCGGGCATGGAAACCCATTCCATGAAGCTCTCTATGCACTGTTGTTGTGCTAATCTGAAGGCCACACAAAGTTTGGAGGTTTTTAGCTGTTGACTCTGCAGACAGTTGGCGACTTCTGCGCACTGTGCGCTTCAGAATTCGCTGACCCCGCTCTGTCATTTTACGTGGTCTACCACTTCATGGTTGAGTTGCTGTTGTTCCCAGTTGCTTCCGCTTTGTTATAATACCACTAACAGTTGACCGTGTAATATTTAGCAGCACGGAAATGTCACGGATGGACTTATTGCACAGGTGGCAACCTATCACAGTACCACCCTTGAATTCACTAAGCTCCTGAGAGTGACCCATTCTTTCAAAAATGTTTGTAGAAGCATTTTGCATGCCTAGGTTCTTGCCTTTATACACCTGTGGCCATGGAGGTGATTGGAACACCTGAATCCAATGATTTAGAGGGGGTGTCCCAGTACTTTTGGCAATATATTGTATGTCTACCCACTGCTAAATGTGTTTGTGTTTGCACTAGACTACAATTTCACTGAATGGATCAATGCATGGTATAGACCGATGTATAGGAGACCAAGACTTCCTTCAGATGTGGGCATGTGGAGATAGCATGGCAAAGTCTGGCCAGTTTGTGTGCCCATAAAAATTTCAGAAACATAGTTTCAGTAATACAGAAGGTAGGGTTTGCAGAAGGTAAAACATTTTGAGCACATTTATCTTTAGGATACTGCATCTACCAAACCATGAGACAGTACCTTGAGTCCATTTGTTATTTTGTAATTGTTTCAATAGTGGGAGAAATTTAGAGGATAGAGTTTGGTTGGTTTGTTGCTTTAGTAGCCCATTAAAAGGGTACATTTTTCACCAGGTGACTGATCCCTCTTACTGGGATATTGACATTCAGGGCTTCTGATGTTGGAAAGTTCATTTAATTTTTTTTTTGAGTACTGTAATGTCTAAGTTCATTTAGCAGGTTAGATAGAGATATTGTTGGGCTAGTGACAAAAACAGGTCATCTGTGTATGCAACTGTCTTGTAGTCTGTATGTCCAAGTGTTATGCCCTCAAAGTCTTGGTTCACCCACATATTACAAAAAAGATGTTTAAGGACTAGGATGAATATCACCGAGATAATTGGTAGCCCATGTGGGTGCCACTACATGTGAAAAAGAGCCTAATAAAATACTGTAGGCCTTAACTCTGACAGTTGGATTATAGGGTCAGAATGTGAGCCAACATAGAGCTACCTAGGTCAAAATGTCTGAGCACCTCCTCCTTAAAGTCACAGTCAGCATGGTCTATTTCTTTTTCTGCGTCTGTGGAAAGTAGCTTGAGTGTTTGAACCTTTGAATATCCTGAGTGGATACTGTTTAGGAAATTTGTGGTATTTTCTCAGGACTCCCTGGATTCCGCAAAGCCTGCTTGTTCAATGTGTAAGGAATTTCTAGCATATTTCCAGTCCAGATGCCATGATTAAAAGTCTAGACGATAAGTCCACATTTAATAAAGAAATAGGTGTATAGCTGAGGAACAGGTTTAGGGTCTTTGTCCTCTTTTCGTATTACCAAAATATGGATGTGTAGTAATCAGAATGTACTGGGGTCTCGGGATTATGGAGTTGTTAGCTGCTAGAAATTTTTTTAGATAGTTGGCTCTGGAGGGTAAGCCCATCTGGACTAGGGCTTTCCCTGTTTTAGAGCATGTAATTTCCCATGCTTGGTCTTGAGTTGTACATGGTGTTTCTAACATATTTTCTCTTCTTGGGTTAGGGGGTTTTTATGCCACAATTTCAGTGTTCTGGATGTGTTTTAGTGTACGCATTTATACACATTTTTAATGCATTTTAAATGTGTTCCAGTTTTTTCTTCTTTGTTTTTGTTTTGATACTTGACAAATCTTTATTTTAATCAAGACTATGTATATTCCAGTGTGCTCTGGTGTGTTTATACATGTTTTGATGCATCCCAGACAAAAAAAATGCAGCAGGTTCTACTTTTGTTTGACCTGACTGCATTGGCTTGAACTAGGGCCATTGGAGTACCCGGCAAACACTGTGCATGCATTCTGGAAATGCTTGGGAAAGCATCTGGTGTGAACCAGCCCTAAAGTATTATAGCTGGTTCACACTAGATGCAGTCCAGTGCATTTTTTTCAGCATCAAAAATGCATGCACAATATTTTTCATGTATTCCAATTGCCCTAGTTCACACCAGTGCAGTCAGTTCCAGTCTCCAGTGAAGAAAAAAAGTAGTACATGCTGCATTTTTTCTGCACAGAACCAGGAACAAGGAACACAGCAAAACATATCAAAAACGCACCAGAACGGGGGGTGGTGTGAACTGTAAGCAAAAACACATCTGAGAATCATCTGGGGTATGTTTTTGTGGTGTGAACTGGCCCTTTCTGGAGGAGGCAAAGTAGATTCGGATGTGTTAGGAATAGTCATCTTAGCATATCACTGATTACTAGCTGTTATATACACTTTCTAAACCCAGAACAAAAATATTTTATAAAACAATATCTTTTTCCTTTAGGAGAGAATGTGCCTGAAACGGAGCAACTGAGTGACAACGAACAGATTATTCCGGAAACTTGTGATGAGACCCCAGTTAATGATAATAACTCTTCCATTGTGATCCGAATCTCAGAGGAGGAGAGAAGGAAGTATGAGGAGGAGATCCGTAAAATGTACAAACAGATGGATGACAAGGTAGGTAGTTTTGAAGATGAGAAAATCCTCCTCTTTGACAATAATACATGTAAATGAATTTCTACTTATTATTTTGAAGGATGATGAGATCAACCAGCAGAGTCAATTAGCAGAAAAGTTGAAGCAGCAGATGTTGGATCAAGAAGAGGTAATATTTTCTATTCACAATGTGGTAAGACTAAGAGCTGTTTTATTCAACTATATTTATGAAAAAAAATGCTGCCTGCAGGTATTTAAAACCAACTCACATATTTAGCTCATAGTTCTCAGTCTCAGGAAACAACTCAGCCCATATGTTGGTATTGAGGTGTCTGTACTGTGCTTTTCATATAGCTTCCTCAATAGGAAACAGAGCAGCTTTTGCTTGTAGGCAATACAAGAAGTGTAATTCAAAAAATTAGACCTAGCAAGAAAAAGCCACATCTGTCCATTTCTATTGTTTCGTGTAAATCTGCATAGGATTCAGACCTTTTTCAATGAATGAAGTTGACAACAGAGTTGCATACCATGGTTGTCAGTAGTAAAAGCAAGTTAAAAGGATTAGGAGATTTAAAACATGGCACTATAAATTGTTGAATTTAGTGAGATCTGTGGTACTACTTCAGATTCTACAAATACATTAGGAAACATTTTGATATGGCTAATTACATATGATATAGAGAGGTGAGAGGTTTGCTGAAGAATAACATACTTAGAAAACATTTGTTCTATTCTGTAGTCAAGTCATGCTGATATTTTAAGTAACAGTTGATGGGTTTTACAGCCTGCAAATAGGCAGGTTGGTTGTCATCTAACTGTTAGGTGTCTATAGAACCATTTTGCCACTTAAAGTTATTCTGCCATGTCTAGAGAAATGTATAAACTAACGTTATTGATCAGGTGTGGGAACTTTGAGGTGCCTACTAGTACCAGCACTGGTCTTTATATCAGTTCCCTTGTGCCTGGGAAGTATCTTAGGCCCAAGACACAGGCTGTACACAGGACCTTGACTTCTTTTCAGATCAGTCATGTACTTCTTTTGCTAATCTTCAGCCCCTGTTATTCAGCCAGTGGTGTCACTAGGGTTGGTGTCACCTGGTGCGGTAAAACATGGTGTCACCATTATTTTTTTCCCATATAACACTGCTCTCTTTCTAGTCTGCCACAGTGCTCTGTCCTGCTGCTGCAGAGTGACAGTAGGACAGAGCAGTAGACACTGAGCAGGCTAGTGCATCGGGCTCTCTCCTATACAGCCTGCCACAGTGCCCTGCAGGGTGCTGAGCAGGCTAATTTCAGGCTGACAGCACACGGTCACAGTGCGCACCCCAAACCGGCCCTTGCAAATGATGCAGTCTGTGCCGGAGTGCCGAACCGTGTGCTTTCATGGATGAGAGTGACACCATTGTGGTCAGATATCACTTCCTACTTGATGGTGCCACCCACAGGGCTGCTGTTAAAAATCGTGGGGCCACATACAGCCTACCTGACAGAGCTCCCCTCAATCCTGCCCTGGATCCCACCCTTGACCCCGCCTTGAAACAAAATGCATTGCCTGCGCAGTGATGCATATGTGTCATGTGGGCATGAAAGCCCCACTTTTTGCTGCCACACATATGGGTTTCTGGGGCATAAAGGGATTAAAGGGGAGTAGTTGGGGGGTGGTAAAAACGCTGCTCAGCTACTTATTTTTACTGCCTTCCCCCCCAAACACAGATGTAAAGTAGCATTTCACTGTGCTTATGATAATCAGAATTTTGGTAATCACACAGCATAGCAGGTGCTGTATGGATCTGCCAGTGTCACATGGAAACATAACAACCATAAGTTAATAAAGTCAGCACCCAACAGCCATATGACACTGGAAAAGCCATACAGCACCTGCTGTGCTATTACCAAAATTCTGATTATCATAAGCACAGCAAGGATTCTGATGAAACAGATGTTAGTGTCTCTCTCAGTGCAACCACACCACCCACCGCCGGTGGAATAGACTTGCTGCTCCCGGTCAGCCGCTTCACATCCGTTCTTGGCATCTGACTGAGGGAGCAGAGCATGTTTATGGAGATCACTCCACCATGAAAGGTGGTGGGCAGCCTACAAGGTACACCCGGCAAGATAAAAAAGTCCCTCCTCTGTTCTCACCTCCTGGGCCCCTCTGTCTACCTAATGGGGCCCAGGAAAATGTATATACTCCCCCCTAGGAAAATAGGAATGGAGTGTAATTTAGTAAGGACTACTGTTTGCATTGGCAGAACTTAGCTATAGGGGCTGGTTGTACTGCTTATCAGCGGCCCTGGTCACCCCTCTGTCGGCAGTCCACACCCCTCACACACCCATAGTAACACCACTGCATTCAGTTACCAAATGGCAGACCCTTTGTATCCAGTAGAGGCTCTGGTATGTAATAACTGAATTATAGAGCGCAGGACCAGGGGAGGACTGACCATTCGAGCACTCGGGCACTGCCCGAGGGCCCGGGGTCAGTAGGGGGCCCCATGAGATGCCCATGATACATTTTATTGGCTTTTTCATAGGCTTTTTTGGGTGTGGGCGAGGACACAGGGGCCCCATGATCCCCTATTTCCCAGGGGCCCCATGAGTTGTCAGTCCGCCCCTGGGCAGGACATAGTGTTAGGAAATGTTCCGCTTAAAGCCCAACTGTTTGCCCCCCCATGCCTTTCCCCCCGGAGGCCCCCATTGTCCCATTAGTTGTTTTTTTTTATATACCAACTTATTTCTGAAGTCTTCAGAGAAGTTACGTGATGCTTATGTGATTCTTTTAATATTCTTCTGTCTATGAAAGGTACGTTGGTGATGCCACCTCAAGGGGCACAGCCATGATGCTCTGAAATCACAGTATCTCCTCAGTATTTACTGACCCTGGGCACTATTCAGCCAGAACTAAATACATCTTGTGGCTTAAAAGAAATACTGTGGAGATGGGCTTTACTGCTAATTTTGAGGAAAGTCAAGGCCCTGTATACAGTGTTTGCAAGCACTATAGTGTATCTGTACCTTACCAGAAATGTTTGTTTAAATTCTTTGTGTTATATATAGCTATATCATATATAAAGAGAGCTTTATCATTATTTTTCCCACATGAAAGTCACTGTGATGCTACAGCATCATGCTTTTAACTAGGTTTCAGTTTGGCAAGCTAGATGGTTTTCTATATTTAAAATACATGGTGGGTTACTGGTAATCTTTACTGTGATCATAATCCCTATCCACTCCCTGAATTGTTCATTTTTGAAGTTGAAACTTGTACATATTGCTTACTGAGAGATACTCAGAACTGAATAAATGTAAACAGGGCATAGCAAAGGCTAGTATATGTAAAAAAATGGCTGCCAAAGGGCCTGCTTAGAGGTCTTCCATAATTCATTTTTTTTTCTAAGTTGTGTACCTTCATACTACCCAGCTGCTAGCATAGTAAGGATGTTTGGACAAATGACTTAAATCTGACACTATCTTCTGTGCAAACAGCTATTAGTATCCACTCGGGGTGATAATGACAAGGTGCAGATGGAACTGAGCCGCTTGCAGTCAGAAAATGATTGCGCCAAAGAAGAAGTGAAGGAGGTTCTGCAGGCCCTGGAAGAACTTGCAGTGAACTATGATCAGAAGTCTCAGGAAGTTGAAGAGAAAACCATACAAAACAAAATCCTCACTGATGAGCTGTCTCAAAAAGTTGTAAGTACACTATTGTAAGTTTTATTCTGGCCACAAGATGGTGTTAGTATGCTGACAATACGAATTTAGATATTATTCCCGTATGGACCTATTGCTAAATCCAGATGTGATCAGAAGACTTCATTTTAAAATAAAACACAAAGACATGCTTCTCTGACTACGTACCTCTGGGGAGATCACAATACATCTCATGCAACACCATGCTGACCACACAGATGATGAGTTTCACACAGAATAGAGGCCATGTGAGATTCGAGGGAAGAGCTACTGTCTTGCCTTCCATAGTGCTGTACTGTACATCTGCAAGGGACATAAAATACGTTCTATAGTTAGAGGAAAAAGCAAGTAAAATTTATGAGTATAATATTGTTTTTATCAGTCTCATAGGTTTAGGTTTCATTTGTTAAATATGACCCTAGAGAAGAGTTAAGTACCTACATTTGTACAATTTATTAGGCCCACTTTAAGCACTAATAGAACGACGCTTGATGCCATTATGTCACATGGTTTAATTATATGGTAGGTGTTTATTAGTATTTTTAAGTGATTACACAGGGTTTATTTTTCTCCATTTCAGGCCAGTCTTTTGTCTCTGGAAAACGATCTGCATCGCCTGCAGGAATTCAGCACTCATCAACGCAAGCGAATTGCTGAAGTTCTCAATGGCCTCATGAAAGACCTTAGTGAGTTCAGCGTCATTGTGGGCAATGGAGAATTTAAACTGGTAAGTTACTGTAACATATACAGCAATATGTGTCTCTGATTTCAAAGGACAGCACTTTGTCCTGAAGACTTGTCCCTGGTTCTTTTTATGCATGGTAGATTGAATTACCAACGGCAATAATATTTTTCACATTTTTTAAGATTTTATTTAGAGCAAACTTACATTTAAAATCCAAAAAAAATATAGATACCAATTTCCTTTTTAATTATGCGGGTATACAGTATGTTAAAGCGGAAATGAAGTGTAAATATCAGAAAGCGTCAGACAGCTCTCCTTCACAGGATATAGTCTTTATGACTAAGCCCTGATGAGGGGGGCAAAACACATCAGGGGGACTGTGGCTTATGGACGGGCCGGGAGTGCGACTTTTATAGTGTACAATGAAACGATCACTGGGGCATGAGTGAACATGTCAGCTGGAATTCCTATCTCTGAGGACCAAAGAGATTGACTTTCTTCATGCTTTGAGTGGTGCTCCAAGTCTAACCATAGGTCACAAAAAATGGAAATAAACCTATTGCTTTAACTGTTTCCCAAAACAGTTCTATTCAAGGCATGTCGTGAAAGATAACTCTCGCAGATGCTTGTGCTTTCAACCAGATTGTCAAGCCATCAAATATTTGGTATAATAACTGGTTGTTGTACATTTCTGCCAGTACACCATGGATCATCAAGTCTCATCCAAAAGCTTTATTGTAGAGTGACCACATCACAATAGACAGAGAGCACCGTTTTGGAGCTGCTTGGGACCCCTACATCAGGCATACTTACAGTGGTGCAGAAATATAATACTGTACTTGTGGACCAAATGGGCTGGCCCTCTAGACATATCAAGTGTCTTTGATTGCCATTACTTCCCCGATTGCAGATGCATATGAGTTGGTTTACCGTTGTTTGCTATCATTGTATAATGTGCTTTTTGGTAGGCTTATGTTATCATACAATGTCAGAGGGTGGGGGGTGTCACACTTTTCTTGTATGTTGATTGGTGGATAGCACTTTAATTATTTCTGCGTCCCTGTATGCACTTATCACACTCTGCCTATAATGTGATCATTCTACAGTAAAGCTTTCGGACAAGACTTGATGATCCATGGCCTGCTGGCAAAAACATACGTTGACTTGTAATGTCTCCAGTCTCCAGTTGTCTCTGGTTGTCGCTGCCGCACCATCACTTCTGAGCCTAAGCCATGAACATGTGCAATGAGAATATTAACATTATCTGGTATCATAATTGGTCACATGTGTAGCACCATAGCAAAGGCAGATCAAACACAGACTAAAATGGCAGCCAACTTGACTGTAAAGTACAGGAGGTTTAGTTCCGCTTTAAGACATTTTTCTGCATAACAGTTTTTATACTCTTCCTAAATCAAGGTGAACCAGCAAATGTGCTGCACTTACTTCCCCAAAAAGCTTGTTCAGACTTGTGTGGAGACCTGTAGTTTTCTGCCCTAGGAAGCCACAGGTCTCCTTGAGGTCACACAGAAAACTATTATTTTCTATGTGTCCCATTCACACTGGAACACAGCCTGGGTGAGGTGTGGTGCAGTGCATAAATATGCAATATATCCGCACAACACAGCCCACCTGTAGTTCCATTTCTCTCTGTATATCTATGCACCATAAATAGAAGTGAATGAAATTCACACTGGGATTTATTTACTAAAGCCGGAGAGTGCAAAATTAGGCTCACTTCTGCATAGAAACCAATAAGCTTCTAACCTCAGGGTGTTCAAATATGCTTTGGCGAAACAACCTGGAAGCTGATTGGTTTCTATGCAGAAGTGAGCCTGATCTTGCACTCTCCTGATTTAGTAAATAAGCCCCACTGTGACATTTCAAAAAAGTTGAAAAAAAAAATAAAAACAACACTCTTGCAAGTGCAAGGTATTGCTGCCCAGAACAAACACTTGCTACACAAAAAAAAAGTGGCACTTTATTTTGCATGAAGGGCAAACAAGGCTTTTACATACAATAGACAGTAAAAACTGCAACTATAATTATAAACAATAGTTTTATCATACTGTGGCACAATACACAATATATATTGATGAAGAGGATATGGGCACATGCTCTCCCATACCCTAAAGTATTGATTGCCTAATGGAGTGATCAGGGATTGAAGGCAAGCTGACTATGTGCTGGCATTGGTGTGGCATTTCAGTTGAACATGTTGCTTTGCCCTGCATGGACAAAGCACAGGAACCACCAATGATTCTTCTTCCAAAATATCTTTCCATAAATGTGAAAGCTTGCATCTGGTGAACTTGTATAGTTGCGCCTACTGAGGGGAGAGAATTGGCAGGGATAATCTTCACGAGCTGATCAACTTTTACTTAGGTAGGCTTGACCAAGGAACAGTGTCATGGTTGTGGGAGAAGCCTACTAAGATGTGAATGTTTTCTGAACTTTCAGAGCTGGGTGAAAATCCTCTGAGGTCTGCAGGCATATTTAGGCTTATGGTATGGTTGGTTTGGACCTGTAAAATATATCCCTGGTGGTAAATTGACCCCTTGATATTAATTCTCCTTGTAGCCTGTGGAAATCAGCGGGGCCATAGAGGAAGAGTTTACTGTAGCTCGTCTATACATCAGTAAGATCAAATCTGAAGTGAAATCTGTGGTGAAACGGTGTCGCCAGCTAGAGAATCTTCAGGTTGAATGTCACCGCAAAATGGAAGTTACTGGACGGGAACTGTCCTCATGCCAACTGCTTATATCACAGGTACGACTGCCTCTCTTATAATTATATGGATTGTCAGTTTCCCTTTTTTTGAAGTTTAAGTGAACAGAGGATCCAGGAAGTAAAGTTTCCACAAGTTTCCCTTGCAAGAACAGTTGACTTATATGATGAAACCTTAAAAAAAACCATGAAATGTTCTCAGACTAAATTCACTGCAGACTGAAAGTGTGAATGAGGAAAATACCATATTATGGTCACCAGATGGTGCTGAGTATCATAAGAAATAAGTATGCTCATCAGCTCCATCTAGTGGTCAGTGTGGTGTTTTCCCCATTAACACATTCAATCTGCATATAACATAGTCAGAGACCCTACAGTTTTGTCTCAGAACCAATTTACATGCAGTTTCAATGGACGATCTGCAATGCAAATCTTTGTATATACACAATATAACTGGATACTAACATGTACAGGTAAAGTTGATCCAGAGAATATCCGATTGCCTCTCGGGGGATCAAGAAGGAATTTTTACCATGCAGGAGCAAATTGCATCATGCTTTGCTGGGTTTTTTTGCCTTTCTCTGGTTCAATCATGGGTATAGGAATATAACTTTTTTTTTTGTTGTTGTTGAACTGGATGGACTTTTGTCTTTTTTCAGCCAGACTAACTGTGTTACCGTGTGTGTGTATAAATGCATGCCTTATTAGTATGTCCCGTTTTTTATTGTAATAATGAAATGAATAATTTTCCTCATAATTGTGAACTAGTCGTACAGTCCTGTGGGAGCTACCATTGCTGACCTTGAAGGAGCATGTTCCAGGGCTGACATCTTTACCCTTCCACATTCATACAATCCAGTGAGAGTGCCAAACAAACATCCAAGAGTCCAGTTCACTGGAAATTTCCATTAAATGTTTTAGATTGCAATATTTGTCTCTCTATCCTATATACACTACTGTAGTACCATTGTACATTAAATTGAAGAAGTATTCATACCCCTTTCCACATTTTGTCATCTTTCAACCAAAAATGCAAGTGTATTTTGAGTGGAAAAAAAATGATAGATGGTTTTCAAAATGTTTTGCAAATAAATATCTGAAAAGTGTGAAGTGCATTTGTATTCAGCCCCCCTGAGTCAATACTTTGTAGAATTTTCCTTTGATCTAAACCATTGTAGCTCTGGCTGTATGTTTAGGGTCATTGTCCTGCTGGAAGGTGAACCTCCGCTCCAGTTTCAGGTTTCTAAGATTGCCCTGTATTTGGCTCCATTCATCTTCCCATCAACTTTGATCAGTTTCCCTGTCCCTGCTGAAGAAAAGCATCCCCACAACATGATGCTGCCACCACCATGTTTTATGGTGGAGATGGTGTGTTCAGGGTGATGTGCAATGTTAGTTTTCGGCCACACATAGCATTTTGCTTTTAGGTCAAAAAGTTAAATTTTGGTCTTATCTGACCAGAGCATGTTCTTCCACATGTTTGCTGTGTCCCTCACATGGCTGCAAACAGGACTTCTTATGGCATTCTTTCAACAATTGATTTCTTCTTGCTACTCTTCTATTATTATTATTATACAGGATTTATATAGTTTGCTCAGTACTTTACAATATAACGGGAGACAATACAGCAACAATACAGTTCAATACAAGAGGGTTAGGATAAAGGCCAGAATTGTGGAGTGCACAACTAATAGTTGTCCTGTAGACAGATTCTCCCACCTGAGCTATGGATCTCTGCAGCTCCTCCAGAGCTACCATGGGCCTCTTGGCTTCTTCTCTGATTAATGCTTTTCTTGCCTTGGCTGTCAGTTTAGGTGGACGGCCATGTCTTGGTAGGTTTGCAGTTCTGCCATACTCTTTCCATTTTCGGATGATGGATTGAATGTTGCTCCATGAGATGTTCAAAGCTTGGGATAGGCTGAATATAAATGCACGCTACACTTTTCAGATATTTACTTGTAAAAAAAAATTTTAAAAGCATTTATCATTTGCCTTCCATTTCACAATTATGTGCCATTTTGTGTTGATCTATCACATAAAATCCCAGTAAAATACATTTATGTTTTTGGTTGTAACATGACAAAATGTGGAAAATTTCAAGAGGTATGCATACTTTTTCAAGGCACTCTATTATAGTGCTGTAAGTAAAATCTGATATAAGACCACCACTGAGTTCATAACACAGAGCGAGAACATAACTTGGCCTTCTCTTCTGTTTCACAGCACGAGGCTAAGATCAGGTCTCTGACAGAGTACATGCACAGTGTAGAACTGAAGAAACGCCAACTGGAGGAATCCTATGATTCTCTGAGTGAAGAACTCGCCAAGATGCAGGCTCAAGGTACTCTGAAGATATTGGTCGCTTTGCTATGTACACTGTGACAGATGAAATAGAAGAATAGAAAATTGTAAAAAGGATCAATTTATTACCATAAAAGAAAAGTGGAAGTCTTTCCCCACGGCAGCCAGTCTCATGCTCACGTTTATTTTCCAGCCTGAATTAGATAAATGACAGTAGAAAGCTGACTGATACAGATAACACATCCAATTTCCCTAAAAAGACAAAAAAGTCTAAATAAAGTCCGAAGCTGGTATAATATAGAACACAAATTTGAGAGAATGGAACGATCATTTATTTTTCTAATGGTTACTAATGGTTACTTTGCTCAATTCAAGTATCGATATCCAATTCTTCATGGAAGAAAAATGGATGGTCATGTTTGAAAATTTTGTTTAAATGAATTATTTTGTAAGCATGAATAGTGAAAACGACAAAAAAAGCATGTGTAACCCAGATTAAGCAAAAAAAATTATACTTTATTGCTGAAAACGAATGAAAATACGCAGATGATAGGTGGAAAGTTTTTGAGACAGTGTTGGGTGAATTACATGCGCCATCAAACTATCATTACTCTTTTCAAATGATCCTTTGTTCAATTTTCTAACTATCTATGGCCAGCTTGAGAGTGACAAAATATAAAAAAAATCTATGGTTTAAAGTGACTATAAAGTCTAAGTTTAGACTTTAGAACTACTTTAGCTTTTAATAAATTCCTTCCAAGGGAGCCATTTTAATTAAACCAAGACAAAAGAACAGAACATTGACATTGATGTTAATAGAAACTAATAAGGTGTCACCTTGCAATTTATAAAAAATGAAAGAGGAATTCTTGCTGGTGGGCATGTGACAGCTTTCATTTTGTGTTCATTTTCTATTTTGGTTTTAATGAATCAGTCCCATTGCGGCTCTGTTGACACCTACTTTAGTTTTGCATTGGCACTGCTATTCTAAATAAATGGCAGTACAAAGCGCTGTACCAGGCTAAGTGTTGTGGGTTACCAGGCATTGTGGTAATGTCTGCTAAAATGTGTGTTCCCTCAACACACACATGAAGCCAGCCTATTCATTTGTCCTGCATGGTTAAGATGCCACATATAAGCAAGCTTAATTACCACACTTCAAAAATATGTTACCCCAACATTTCATATTTCTGATTTGTGTCTGTTGTACCACGTTCTTGTGTTAAAAAATATTCTGTTTTCTTTGCGTTGCTTGCTTTGTGTAAAATATCTGGTGATTCAGAATGTCCCCCTTCTTACCTATTTCACGCTAGACATGAGAGCACATCCATCACAGCATGGTCAGTTTTCTGGCTGTGCTGGGAGAATAGCCTACCTGTCCTCCAATAGTCAAACTTATGCTGACATTCTCTCCTGCACAGCCATTCACTGGGAAGATCAGTGTATTGCTTTTGCCCTGATGCAGCTGAGAACAGAGATGTGATCACTTATAAAAAAAAAAATGGAAAAAGGGTAGTTAGAATGTTTTTTCAATGTATATATATATATATATATATATATATATATATATATATATGTATAAACACACGTTTGCCTTTTATTTCTATTTTAAGCTGAATGGGTTGCTTTACAAGGTGAGGGTTGACATATACTTTAAAATCAGAATTTCACAAATGCTAGTTGCCTCAAATGAGGTAAGACTGCAGTGATTCTTTGCACACCAGAAATTGACCTGGGGGTGTATGCATAGGACTAGTACAGTCCAATCTGTAGCATCATCTTATAATAAGTAATAATGGCAGATGCTGGGATTGTCATGTCTTTGTTTATCACAGGGGATATGTGATGTTTTCACCTTGTCACTTTGAATGATATACAGTCAGGTCCATAAATATTGGGACATCGACACAATTCTAACATTTTTGGCTCTATACACCACCACAATGGATTTGAAATGAAACGAACAAGATGTGCTTTAACTGCAGACTGTCAGCTTTAATTTGAGGGTATTTACATCCAAATCAGGTGAACGGTGTAGGAATTGCAACAGTTTGCCTATGTGCCTCCCACTTGGTAAGGGACCAAAAGTAATGGGACAATTGGCTTCTCAGCTATTCTATGGCCAGGTGTATGTTATTCCCTCATTATCCCAATTACAATGAGCAGATAAAAGGTCCAGAGTTCATTTCAAGTGTGCTATATGCATTAGGAATCTGTTGCTGTCAACTCTCAAGATGAGATCCAAAGAGCTATCACTATCAGTGAAGCAAGCCATCATTAGGCTGAAAAAACAAAACAAACCCATCAGAGAGATAGCAAAAACATTAGGTGTGGCCAAAACAACTGTTTGGAACATTCCTAAAAAGAAGGAACGCACCGGTGAGCTCAGCAACACCAAAAGACCTGGAAGACCACAGAAAAACAACTGTGGTGGATGACCGAAGAATTCTTTCCCTGGTGAAGAAAACACCCTTCACAACAGTTGGCCAGATCAAGAACACTCTCCAGGAGGTAGGTGTATGTGTGTCAAAGTCACCAATCAAGAGAAGACTTCACCAGAGTGAATACAGAGGGTTCACAACAAGATGTACACCATTGGTGAGCCTCAAAAACAGTAAGGCCAGATTAGAGTTTGCCAAACGACATCTAAAAAAGCCTTCACAGTTCTGGAACAACATCCTATGGACAGATGAGACCAAGATCAACTTGTACCAGAGTGATGGGAAGAGAAGAGTATGGAGAAGGAAAGGAACTGCTCATGATCCTAAGCATACCACCTCATCAGTGAAGCATGGTGGTGGTAGTGTCATGGCGTGGGCATGTATGGCTGCCAATGGAACTGGTTCTCTTGTATTTTTATTGATGATGTGACTGCTGACAAAAGCAGCCGGATGAATTCTGAAGTGTTTCGGGCAATATTATCTGCTCATATTCAGCCAAATGCTTCACAACTCATTGGACGCCGCTTCACAGTGCAGATGGACAATGACCCAAAGCAGACTGCAAAAGCAACCAAAGAGTTTTTTAAGGGAAAGAAGTGGAATGTTCTGCAATGGCCAAGTCAGTCACCTGACCTGAATCCGATTGAGCATGCATTTCACTTGCTGAAGACAAAACTGAAGGGAAAATGCCCCAAGAACAAGCAGGAACTGAAGACAGTTGCAGTAGAGGCCTGGCAGAGCATCACCAGGGATGAAACCCAACGTCTGGTGATGTCTATGCGTTCCAGACTTCAGGCTGTAATTGACTGCAAAGGATTTGCAACCAAGTATTAAAAAGTGAAATTTTGATTTATGATTATTATTCTGTCCCATTACTTTTGGTCCCTTACCAAGTGGGAGGCACATATGCAAACTGTTGTAATTCCTACACCGTTCACCTGATTTGGATGTAAATACTCTCAAATTAAAGCTGACAGTCTGCAGTTAAAGCACATCTTGTTCGTTTCATTTCAAATCCATTGTGGTGGTGTATAGAGCCAAAAATGTTAGAATTGTGTCAATGTCCCAATATTTATGGACCTGACTGTATGTCAGAGATGTTGTGATTCACTGAAAATGATGTATAATCAGCACTGTCACTTTCACTTGGCAGAAAATGTGACTGAAGTAGCAGCAAAGGATAAGGAGCAGGATGAGGTGGAAGCCCACGAGGTTAAGGTCAGCATTCTTGTGTCATTAGTCAAATCAATCTGTTATAAATATAGTAAAGTTTATTGATGATATACCACACAAATATTCTAGAACTGAGCTCTAATCAGTGATAGAACACACACTTTCTGATTTTCTATTACTCTGATCAGCACATTTATAAACGCATTCAGAACATAATCTGAAGATCTGACAACATCACACTGAGTCTTGTTTAGGAAAATGTTCAGAACTAGAACTGTCTGTGCTGTCCATAGCAACCAGTCAGTTTCTCTATTTCATGAATTAAAACACAAATGGAGGAATGTAATGGCTTGCTATGGTTCACCATCCAAATCATTGGCTGCACACCAAAGATGTTCAACTCCAGCCAATACCAGGACACCGCTTATACCCACCCAAAGCCATGACCACAGTGTGTTTCACCCACATCAGGTCTTATTCACAGGGATCACTGTGCTGTGGTTGCAATAAACCTTGGCTGGAGATCAGTCTCTTCAATGTGAGGCCCATTTTTAGGATGGTGAACTACAGTGCAGGAAGAGTGGTTTCCAGAGCCTTGGCACCCAGCTGATTGCAGGGAATTAAAGAGGATACAGGCTGGCCTGTGAGGTGTGAATGGGGTTGGGTTTGTCTAACAGTATGCTTGCTATGGTTAATATGGAAAGATCTTCCTTCAGACATCTTCTTGGTAACAAGTATCCGGTTATATTATTAACATACAACTATAAAGCAAAATCAAAAGTGACATATGTGCTGCAGTCTGTGGCTAGCATTAACAGAGGAGTTTTTTTAGTCTCCCTGAAATATCCTTTTTTTACCCGTTGATCCAGCCAGTCAATCTGTTACTTTTCTGTTTCTTTTAACTGGGTCATAATGCTGTGCTCCCTTCTAAAGCACAGTAGCCTTGTAATAACGGGGGGTATGGATAGCTCTGAAAAGGGATCCACAGGGGAATTCTCAATCCAAGCTGGTTTTTACAGGCAGCTCAGAAGTGATATGCTTCCACCTGGACACCTGTATTTTGGGTGGAGGGGGACCTGCAGTACTGCATCACAACTGCAAGCATTGAACGTGGTTGCAGCACAGTCTGGCAGTACCACCTGCCAAAAGCGACATGTTGTATAAAACATTCTGCTCTGTGACTGCTGCAATGTGTACTGGCAGGATCAACAGATAATAAAACTATGTTGTCACCAGATCCCCATCAGACTATATATCATTAAACATTGAATCCCTATTCAACCTAATAAAAGCCAGAATTCAAACATGGGCAAGATGTTCTGGTTCCCACTGATGTGATTTCAGATGTGAATCGGGATCTCACTGAACTGCAAGACAAGGGAAATAACATTGGTTCCCATGGAGCTTGTTCATACCAATGCAGCACAGCTGCAATCTGACCTTGGGAAAGGGTTCTCTGCTTCTTTGGTGCAATGCAATGCATTTCTGTGGACCATAGACTTAAATGGAAACACTTTCAAATTGCTTATCTGTCCTATTGTGATACGATCATAGCATGTTTTCTTCCAGTCTTTGCTCTCATTCTTGGCCAGCACAGAAATTGTAGCCAGGGCTGTGGATAAGGGGGTACCACCAGTCCTCCTGTACGGGGCCCAGGAAAGCAGGGGGGCCCAGGCTGCTGGGTGAATCAGATGTGGACAGTGAGGGTGATCGGCATAGCGGGGTGGGCAGTTACTGGAACTGATACCCTGTATGCTCTCTCTGCAGCAGCTGAAAACTGGCTTCTTCTCCTCTCCCTCCCACTGGCTTTCAGCTGCTGCAAAGGGAGTCATACAGGGGATTGGTTCCAGTAATTGCCCCCTGTCACACTCATCATCCTTCCTGTGCACCATATGTTTCCCCTTGCTGCCTAGCCCCCCTTGTGTGCCCCCACTACCACAGTGCTACCAGCTTCCCTCCTCTCCATTCTACCAGCAGCTGCAAGCACACAATAGGATCCTTCAGGATGGAGAATAGGGGAAGGGTCCAGTAAATATGTCACTTTTACCAGCCCCCTCCTTTCCTGAATGAGCAGAATGAGTGGTCGGTACCAATCACTCACTGTGTTCATTAATAACTGTAGCATAGTAAAGAGTGTTTTTTCAGGTGGTGGGCCCTGTCAGGGTGGCTGTATGGGGCCCCGTGGTTTCTAACAGCAGCCCTGATTGTAGCCGTCAAAATTGCATCAAGCCTCACTGCAACTTCACTGAAAATCGGATCAAAGTTATAATGCATCAGTGTGAATCTAGCCTTAGGGGTAGTCAGTTTAATTAAGAGGATCTTACTGCCCAGGATTCTATGTATTCTCAGGCATTCCCTCATATATGTACCTCTTAATTTCTCTTAAGATTATGGACACCTTGCTTCAGTCCTTCGTCTTCAATAATTTGTCTTCGTCTTAGAGGGTTCAGCACTCCCATACTTTAGCTTATATTACCTTGCCACTCAACTGTCTCCTCTCTATCATGTAGATAAATCCAATCATTTCTGCTATGTATCCCTAGTTTGCAAATCTTCCACGTCTGCCACTCTACAACATCTGTGTGTTGTGTTAAGAGGGGTCCAGGGATCCTTTGCAGATGATTTTCAAACTAGTATTCTTTACCACCACAAACGGGTTTGTTACTTGGCTATGATCAAATCAAATACCCCAATGGTTCACACTTTCTCCCCCCTCTAGCATAACAATCATTTACCTGAGCTTCTAACAGTACCCGATTGAGATTTGTGGGCCTCTAAGGGCATATACCATATCCATCATGTGGTTTACGCGTTAGTGTTGAAGGATGAATTTACACTGCCAAACTGTATGCTATTCTCCTATCTCCAACTGCATCATGCACTACAAGCCCAATTCCTCAGCCCATACCTGATACCTACACCCATTCCTACAATCGAGGTTATAAATGGCAGTGACCCCAAAAAACTTACTTCTACATTTTTCAATGTACTACCTCCCCCTTCGCCTCCAAAATTACCTGTTCTCCCAAAACCTCCTAGGAAGTAGACGTAGATGATCTAGATGATGTGGAATCGGGTGAAGCTCTAGATAATTTCAGACTGGTGTACCTTAAGATTTTGGATCATTTCACACAACTATACTTCCTGCATAGGGCTTATTTAATTCCAATATGTATTTCCAAATTCCACCCCATGCACAGTCCTCTATGCCAGATGTGTTTACTCATCCAGATATATTTAATCATATTCTGTGGGATTTTCTTAAGATTCAGGGTTTTGGATACAAATGATAATATTTTTACATGACAAAATGGGATCCCCCTTGTCCTTGAACCCCAAACAACGTTTATTGGGACTTTATCCCGGTTCAGATAAATTCATGAGTATGTTCTTGCATATTTACAGCCAGAAAATGGATAGCTCATAGTAGGATGCAGGCTCTCCCTCCCACCCTCCAAGCCTGGATAGCTAAAAATAACACCTCCCTACCCTATAAAAATGTAATATATAGTTTATAAACAGGGGGTGTTCTTCTAAGCATTATAAGATATGGGATCACTGGTGCAGTCACCTGATACATGCTTATGACCCCCTATTTAACCTACCTGATTGCATGGAATATATCATCTGTCCTTCCTGAACTTACTACAAGCTGGTGTTGTACTTTTATGAAAAGTAAAACCATACCCAGCCAATGGTTTACCTGAATTTCTTTTGCCTAAACTGTAACAGTGATTTTATTGCTTGCTGATTCTGATTCTTCACATAATGTGAAGTACCGGTACATAATGTGGTACCAACCTCTATGCATATTACTCTCTATTGTGTCTAGTTGGATAACTACTTAATGGAACATTTGTAGTCATTTGTATTGTACTCTATTGTATTTTCTATTTCCATGTAATAACTTTTCATTTAAGAAGTTATTCTTTAGGGCTTGTTCGCACCATGGCGCAGAGACCTAAGTTTTTCTGCACAGGTTCTGCAAAGGCATCTTGAAATCAATTGTTCTCTATGTGTCCTATTCACACCACAACACTAGTATCACATACAGATTTTGTGAGCAGGAATCTGCAACATGTATAAAACTCATTGAAGTGCTCTTGAAAACTGATGTAAATTGATGCCTCTGCAAGTGAAATCTGTGCATCAGTTTCCATAATTTTTTTGCACGTATGGTGTGAACGAGGCCCTAAAATAAAAAAACTTTGTTACAAGGAATACTCAGGTAAAAACAAAAACTGCTTTTTTATTGATACTGACTGGCAGAATAATGTCATGTTTTATTTCGCCCATAGTTCTACTTTAATTGTGCTGCTGGACAAAAAAGGTGTGCTTTTTAGTTTATAATGTAGGAAATGCTGCCATCTCATCTTAGGGTAGGTTCACAGTAGTGTACTTCTGCATGCCTCATTTGTGTGGGAATAGAAGTTCATTCATTTGAACAGGCTGCTGTGCCTGCATTTACCTGCAGGAAAAAGGTTCCTGCACCTTTTTTAAAACACGCCCACATGGAAACCTTTTGGCACTTTGACACCATGAATACATGTGTGCGGGAAACTGCACCGTGCTTATCAGTGTGTAGGGTGCCATTAAGAGTTAATGCCATCTCCATGCATTTTCTTTAAAGCACCACGTTCGTGTGTGGCTGCATGCAGGTATGGGAATGCGTGTGATTTACGCACATTTCCACATCCGCACTAATGAGAACCTAGCTTAGAGACTGGTAAGCTACGATATATTCCATTTTCGTTTTTTGGGTTTCGATACACTTACTGTTTAGATAAAGAATTAATGGAACTGCATTAATTTGGCGTTTTCAGTACATTTTGACAACACTCAGTACTTGGTTCAGGTTTGAGTGCATAGTGAAATGTAAGGTTCACATTTAGCTATATTTCTTTGCTTCAGAAGGTTCTGGAGATGCAGATGGAAAGCCATCGTGAGGCCCATCATAAACAATTGGCGCGTCTCCGTGATGAGATAAATGAGAAACAGAAGATCATCGACGAGCTCAAAGAGTAAGATCTGATATGAATTGTTGGAATTTTATTTATATCATGTTGCAATGACATGTAATTCTACTGCAATCATATTGTTTTTTTCTTACATGGTTTATATAAGTAGAGGTCACAGTGTATGCCAATAGTAAGAAACTTTAAAATTGCAAAACAAAATACTACAGTAAAAGTCCTATTTAAAACGTTTACTTCTGGAAATGTGAGTTTCCTGGCTATAATGTTGATCCCTTGCCTTCAGTACTTTATAGTCACTGATGTAGCTTAAGTTTGGAAGGTATGAAAGAAATAAGTCAGAAAGCCTTGTATGTATATTTACCTTTATTCATAACAGTGACTTAACAAATGGAAGCGGAAAGGTCATAATGACAGCCAGGCAACTAACATTTGTAGAAAGGAAAACAAGGTTTGTCAGCCTCTATTTTTCTTTCTTAGCAGGTTTCCTTTACTACTACTTTGTTGCTGTGACAATTTAGCAAGTACTTTATGCATTAGGCTGGACATACGTGGATCAAAATTCAGCCGGTTCATCAGGGACCCGCTGAATTTCGATCCATGTATGGGCACCCTGGTTGTACACTGTCAGTCAACTTGTGGACAACCAGCCTGTTGGGTTTTTCCCGAAAGACTAATGCTGCCACTATAGCTGAAAACACTAATTATGTTCTGCCAGGGATTCCCCAGAAATTTTTGTTTCCTTCCACCTGTGGAAGAAAATTGCCTGTCGTAGTAAAGATTGTCTTGGAAGCTCACACCATTTTCAGTTTATGTATTGATTCAGGTTATTCTGGGGTTTATTTACTAAAGCTGGAGAGTACAAAATCAGGCAGGCTCACATCTGCATAGAAACCAATCAGCTTCCAGGTTTTATTGCCAAAGCTTAATTGAACAAGCTGCTTTTATTATTATTATTAATATTATACAGGATTTATATAGCGCCAACAGTTTGCTGAGCGCTTTACAATATAACGGGAGACAATACAGTATCAACACAGTTCAATACAAGAGGGTTAGGAGGGCCCTGCTACTTGCACTGTTAGAAGGTGATTGGCTACAATGCACATCTGGGCTTGATTGTGCACTCTCCAGTTTTAGTAAATTAACCCCATTTCCTGAACATTTATGTTTTGCAAAATTTGCCTTCAACAGTGTTTTATTTACACCACTGCTGTATGCCTTCAGTTTTATGGCCACTTAGGTTTTTGGCTACAACTGCACTAAACAATAACCGCTAACATGAACATGTGATGAGTATCTGATTTAATGAAAGAGGAATACAATATTTGGTAAATTTAATTTTTGTGCCTGTTTTCTTCTCAGTTTGAACCAGAAGCTGCAGCTGGAGTTGGAGAAGCTCAGAGCTGACTACGAGAAGCTGAAAAGTGAGGAACACGAGAAGAGCAACAAGCTGCAGGAGCTGACGTTAGTACCGTTTCAGTCCTCACTAGTATTAGTATCTTGTTCTTCTGAAGATCTATGGATCCATACCAGGGGTGTCAAACTGGCAGCCCTCCAGCTGTTACCAAACTACAAGTCCCATGAGGCATTGCAAGATTAACAGTTACAAGCATGACTCTGAAAGGCAGAGGCATGATGGGACTTGTAGTTTTGCAACAGCTGGAGGGCCGCCAGTTTGACACCCCTGATCTAGAGATTTATGATGCCCAACCGACAGTCCAGGGACCAAGTGTAACTCTTCAAACATAGCCTAGCCTTGCTGACCTTCTGTTTGATTTTTATTATAGTGTAGGGAACAAATAAAGGTGAATTAAAACCGATGAATCACGGTGTTGATCTGTGGAGGCCACACAGCCCACAGTTGTTATCTGTTTTGAAGAGCCCGAAATAGTAAAAGGTACAAAGATAATCAAAAGAAAGATGTCAAGTCTCTGAAGCGTTCATAGCTATTCAATCTTTTTTGGCACACAGTTTTAGGTCAGAACTCCATTGCCTTCAAGTGCTGGAGCCTTTCCATCTTTCTTCATTTTACCAGTTGGAGATACATTTTTAGCAAATCATATTGAATCAAAATTAGGAGTGAGCTAAACAAAAACTAAATTTTTCAGTTTTGGCTGCATACTGGGAGTTAGAAACTTACACAGCAATATTTTCCAACTGGAGTTCCTGATTTTGTGCATCTTAGACTTGTTGCTACTTAATCTGCAAAGTAAAATACATTTAGTAGTAAGGCCCTGTTCACACAGACATTAAAAATGGGTAGTTGGGTTGCATTTTTAACCAGTTTCCCTACCACCTACCAATGCCACTCACGATTGGTAAAATGGGAATGAATGAAGATGTACACTTGGCAGTGTTAGCATTGTGGAGTTGACCGTTTGTAAACTCCTTCACTCACTTCTGTTGAAATGCACTGCAAGTCCACCATAAACACACTGTAAACATGGCGCTGATGCAGAGTGTGAAAAGTGATAATTTCACATTTTAAAACTATAAAAAATAAAACAAAAATATCTCACCTGGCTTTTGTGCAGCGTCTCTTGGCATGACTTCTGAACATTTGTACAACATGTCAGAAATACCTCTGCAACATGTCAGAAATGCCTGTGCAACATGTCAGAAATGCCTGTGCAACATGTCGAAATTCTTGTTAAAAGATTTGTAAAATGCAACACTTTTGTGAACTTAGCCTAAAAGTATGATCTAATAGAAAAAAAAAAATAATTGCAGTGCGCTGGCCGCAGATCCTGTAAGGAGAGCTGTGGAAGGTGTATTTCTCTAAAGCCATTTTGACCATTTATAACTTTATGGTCCAACATATTTGGTGTTTTGGCCTTTATCATTGGTGATTCATGGTGGTGGAGTGTGTTGAATTCATGAAGGTGCACTTATAAATGGATGAATCACATATATTCTTTCTGCACTTCTTCAAATTCGTGAAGTATTATAATCATTTGAAACACTGTGGACTCTATTAAGCACATGGATTGTGTATGGTTGTATGATTTGTAAATAATTATCCTAACTTTTTTCATTTTATTAAAGTATTAGCGGTTGTCACAGGCAGTCAGAGCCAGGAAGTGAGGTGCAGAAATCTTGCCAATGGAGATATAGATTGAGAAAAAAAAAAAATTCCTCACATTCTGTTTTTGACATGCTGAAATATAACAAAACTGATAACCTCAACAGGTGCGAGAAGCAGGGAAAAGCAAGCTGCACTAAGATACCATTGTTGTTTTTTTAGAACCTGCAGAGTGTTGGTTTTCTCTAATTATTGTGAAATAATTATTCCATATATTTTAAATGTTTTTTTTGCTGATAGATTTCTGTACGAGAAACACGAGCAGTCCAAGCAGGATCTTAAAGGGCTCGAGGAGACTGTTGTAAGTGTTTGTCTTTTTTTCTGCTATTGTAATGTTTGTGATCCTGTTTGTATCAATTTACTGTCATGTTGTAATATTTTTCAAGGCACGTGAACTCCAGACCCTCCACAATCTTCGGAAGCTTTTTGTTCAAGACGTCACATCTCGAGTCAAGAAAGTAAGTTATTTTGTAACACTTCATGCATTCGTGATTAATAAAAGTTATATTTTTTAAAGTAATTATAAGGCTCCATTCTTAAATTGCCTTTCAAATAGAAGTCCTGTTAATTAATGTGTGTTTGGATGATATCCATGGGTTACAATGCATCGTGTTTTTAAAAAGTAGTATTACAGAGCTCAATAAATGTAACATAGAAGGACTGATATCTTACTGTAGATACAGTATACAGGTACCAGCATCCCAGCAAATTTGCAATATATCAGAAGTACAGTCTACAGGACTTTAGCTACCAAACTCTTGAGGACTCTTTTTTTAAGAATTCATCATTTTATATAGATAAATAAGTTAAAAAAAGTATATATATATATTGTAAAAACTTACTGCAGCTCTGTGCTCACATCACATACTGTATAAAGGGCCGTGGATAAGGGGGGTACCACCAGTCCTCATGTACGGGGCCCAGGCCAGCAGGGGGGCCCAGGCAGCTGGGTGAATTAGTTGTAGGCAGGGATGATGATTGGTATGGTAGGAGGAGGTAATTACTGGAACCGATCCCCTGTATGACGATCTCTGCAGCAGCTGAAAGCTGGCTTCTTCTCTCCCTCCCGCTGACTTTCAGCTGCTGCAGAGAAACCCATACAGGGGATCAGTTCCAGTAATTGCCCCCCTGCTGCCCAGGCCCCCTTTGTGTGCTCACTCCCACAGTGCTGTCAGCTTCCCTCCTATCCTTTCAACAGCTGCAGGCATATAATAAGATCTTTCGGGATGGAGAGTGGGGAAAGGGTCCAATAAATACACCCCATCTATCAGCTCCTTTCTTTCCCAAATGAACACAATGTGAGTGATCAGTACCAATCACTAACTGTGTACATTCATAACTGAAGCATTGTAAACTATGTTTTTTTTGGAAGGGGGGGGCCCTACCAGGTTGCTGTATGGGGCCCCTTGGTTTCTAACAGCAGCCCTGACTGTATACCACCATGTTGTAAGCTTAAAGGATAAGTTTCACTTTTTTAAACAAGTTACATGGTACACCCATATTCAAATGCACTGGCCCCTGCACTTAACCACCCCCCAGTCCCCTTTTTTACAGCAGGCGGGGGATCTTCTCCCCCTGCTCGCTTTCACAAGGAAAGAAAAAATACAGGCATGCAGGTCTCTGCCCGCCCGACCATGTCTTTCATTCACAGTGTTCTGACAGCCTTTGTGGCTGGCGGCTTGTAGTTCTCAATGAACTATCAGGGCGCTGTTGAATGCTCTAGGTAGTTCATTGAGCTTCCTGTCAGAGTTTAACTGCCTGCCTGTATCAGAGGTACGAGCAGACAGCTACACAGACAATCTGCAGGACCATAGCATTATACTTATGATCTGCTGATTGTGGGTTCAATGCTTTACAGGTGCCTAACATAAAAAATAATAAATGCATATTTTTATCTGAAAAAAATGTGCATTTATTACATTTTGTAAAAGTCAACTTATCATTTAACCAATTGCCCTCCAGAGGATTTACCCCCCTTCCTGACCAGGCCATTTTTGCGCTATGGCGCTGTGTTACTTTAACTGACAATTGCACGGTCATGCAACGCTGCACCCAAATGAAATTTGCGTTCTTTTTTCCTACAAATAGAATTTTCTTTCGTTGATATTTGATCGCCTAAGTGGGTTTTATTTTTTGCACTATAAAAAAAGACCAACAATTTTAAGAAAATATTTTTGACTTTTTACTATGAAACATGTCCAATAAAAAAATATTAAAGATCTAATTTCGTCATAAATTTAGGCCAAAATGTATTCTGCTACATGTCTTTGCTAAAAAAAATCCCAATACCTGTAAATTAATTGGTTTATGTGAAAGTTATAGCGTTTACAAATGGCAGTATTTATAGTGGAATTTTTTTATTTATTTTTTACTAGTAATGGTGGCGATCAGTGACTTATAGTGGGACTGAGGGACTGACATTGGGGGGGAATTGACTTGGTGTCACTGACATCCCCAGTGATACCAATACAGTGATCAGTGCTAATAAAAAACACTGACATTGTACTAATGACACTGGGCAGGAAGGGAGTTAACATGTGGGGCGATCAAAGGGTTAACTGTGTGCTGTGTGCCATTTTACATAGTGTGCTGTGTGTGTGCTTCACTGTAAGCACACTGCTTTGTATGGCTGTGGTATGCACAGCCATACAAAGCAGTGTGCAGGAGCTGACAGGGGAGAGAACTGTATTGTTTACAAACAGTTCTTCCCCCCGTCGGGGGGGATGCTCCGCAATCTCCGGGCGCCGGCGAGTAATCATCAGTCCGGACCCAGTGATTGACAACCGAGGCTGCGAATGGCGGCGCAGGTAGGGCACGTGCTCACCTCGCATGTGCCCCCTACCCGGACCTGCAAAATCACACACATATATATATATACCGTATATATATATATATATATATATATATATGTGCTTTTGCACCTGTGTTGCCCTGTAGCAGTACTTTTGCTATATGGCAGACGGTAAGCAGTTAACCATGCAATATTACAATGATCACTATATCAGTTACAACACTAAACAACAATGGTGAGAGACTCAGTGAGCCATCACCTCTATGCATTTCGTTAGCAGAAACTCAACTTCAGCAGGATGATGAGGTAGGTAAAACAGTAGCTAAAATCAAGTGGTTAGGAAAAACAACATGAATAAAGGCAATCACCAATGAGGAGAAGCAAGAGGAGTCCAAGAGGGATCATGTAAGGAACACTACTGCATCCCATCCCACACCCAGTAGTATAGTGTTGTTGCAGCAATAAAGCATAATAGTTACTAATTTGCCCAATGCCTGTTTAAAAGGTTTTTATTCTTCAATATCCTGAGTACAACATGTGTTCCCATCAGATGGGTTTTGCATTCCCATACAAGTGTATGGGAATGCAAAGCTCACTCAAGAACCAAAGGACATTGTTGGATGTGACAGTAGACTTTGTTAGTAGAACAGACATTTGTGAATGGCCTGTTTTGCTCAATAAAAATGTTTTCTTTTTAGAGTGCTGAGATGGAACCCGAGGATAGTGGGGGGATTCACTCCCAGAAGCAGAAGATTTCCTTTCTTGAGAACAACCTGGAGCAACTTACAAAGGTTCACAAACAGGTAAGTGTGTCTTTATACATCTGACCATGCTAGCAAAGAGCTGATAAGAAGCTTGCTTGTGCTATGACGGTCCAGCTTACCATACACTGCTTCATCCATTATCAAGAAAGAAACATTATTGTAAACCACTTCAAGGGAGAAGATCAAATATTGTCTATACCTTTCTGGGGGTCTATTCAATAAAGAAGTGCAGTTAAGGTATAAAGTCTTGTAATTCATAGAGAGAAATCAATTTCCAGTATATTTCAAGAGTCACTGTTGCTTCATAAGGGCTCATTTAGAGGTCTAGAGGTGCAGAATTGTGTGTGTTGTTTAAGTGCCCAGTAGTGAAGGGTGTTTCAACAGCTGCAGCCAGCAGCCTGCTAAGACAGACTGCATACAGGATTTAGCATCCATCCCTGTAAAGATATAAATGCTTGGAAGTGCCCACATGGAAGTAAAATATACTTGAAATATATTTTAAAAATATTCTTCACAAATATATTGACATATATTTGAAATGCTACAATTTTGGCCATATTCAATATATTTCAAAATATATTTCAATATATATATATATATATATATATATATACCAGGTGAAACTCAAAAAAATTTGAATATCGTGCAAAAGTTCATTTATTTCAGTTATGGAACTTAAAAGGTGAAACTAATATATGAGATAGACTCAATACATGCAAAGCATGATAGTACAAGCTGTGATTTATCATAATTGTGATGATTATGGCTTACAGCTCATGAAAACCCCAAATCCACAATCTCAGAAAATTAGAATATTTGTAAAAAGGTGCAATATTCTAGGTTCAAAGTGTACCACTCTAATCAGCTAATTAAGCCATAACACCTGTAAAGGGTTCCTGAGCCTTTAAATGGTCTCTCAGTCTGGTTCAGTTGGAATCACAATCATGGGAAAGACTGCTGACCTGACAGTTGTGCAGAAAACCATCATTGACGCCCTCCATAAGGAGGGAAAACCTCAAAAGGTAATTGCAAAAGAAGTTGTATGTTTCCAAAGTGCTGTATCAAAGCACATTATTAGAAAGTTATGTGGAAGGGAAAAGTGTGGAAGAAAAAGGTGCACAAGCAGCAGGGATGACCGAAGCCTGGAGAGGATTGTCAGGAAAAGGCCATTCAAAAGTGTTGGGGACTTTCACAAGGAGTGGACTGAGGCTGGAGTCAGTGTATCAAGATCCACCACACACAGACGGATCCTGAGACATGGGCTTCAAATGTCGTATTCCTTTTGTCAAGCCGCTCCTGAACAACAAACAACATCAGAAGCGTCTTGCCTGGGCTAAAGAAAAACAGACCTGGTCTGTTGCTCAGTGGTCCAAAGTCCTCTTTTCTCATGAGAGCAACTTTTGCATCTCATTTGGAAACCAAGGACCCAGAGTATGGAGGAAGAAAGGAGAGGCACACACTGCAAGATGCTTGAAGTCCAGTGTAAAGTTTCCACAGTCTGTGTTGATTTGGGGAGCCATGTCATCTGCTGGTGTTGGTCCGCTGTGCTTCATTAAGTCCAGGGTCATTGCAGCCATCTACCAGGAGATTTTGCAGCACTTCATGCGTCCTTCCACATACAAACTTTATAGGGGATACTGACTTCATTTTCCAGCAGGACTTGGCACCTGCCCACACTGCCAAAAGCACCAAAACCTGCTTCAATGACTGTGGGATTATTGTGCTTGATTGGCCAGCAAACTCGCCTGACCTGAACCCCATAGAGAATCTATGGGGCATTGCCAAGAGAAAGATGAGAGACATGAGACCGAACAATGCAGAAGAGCTGAAGGCCGCTATTGAAGCATCCTGGTCTTCCATAACACCTCAGCAGTGCCACAGGCTGATAGCTTCCATGCCACGCCGCATTGAGGCAGTAATTGCTGCAAAAGGGGTCCAAACCAAGTACTGAGTACATATGCATGCTTATACTTTTCATAGGTCCGATATTGTTCTATGTACAATCCTTGTTTTATTGATTGCATGTAATATTCTAATTTTCTGAGATTGTGGATTTGGGGTTTTTATGAGCTGTAAGCCATAATCATCACAATTATGACAAATCACGGCTTGAACTATCTTGCTTTGCATGTAATGAGTCTATCTCATATATTAGTATTTATATATTATATTAGTATATTAGTATTGATATATTATATTTTAAGATGCATTACTGAAATAAATTAACTTTTGCACGATATTCTAATTTTTCGAGTTTCACCTGTGTGTACATGTATATATATATATATACTGCGTGTTGAAATGTGATTACATTACAAAACATATGAAAAATATTTTTAAAATACATTTCAAATATACTGTATGTCCTTAAAAATACAAATCTAAGTTTTTGGAATGCATTTACAAATATATGTAAAAATGTGAAAAATATACTTAAAAACAATTTTCAGATATTTTTCTAATATATAAAAAGTGCATTTCAACATGCAGTATATATATATATATGATTTGTATTTTTAAAAATATTGTTCATATGTTTTGTAATGAAATCACATTTCAATATGCAGTATATATTGAAATATATTTTGAAATATATTGAATATGGCCAAAATTGTACCATTTCAAATATATGTCAATATATTTGGGAAAAATATATTTTTTTTAATATATTTTTCTTCCATATGGGCGGGGGAAGAGCTGTAAAGCTGCTCCATCTGTCAGCCTGTTGTTTATCTTTAATAGACTGCAGGCCATGGCTTTGAGGAACACCGATGCCTCCCAGGTACATAAACACAACTCCTCTACATGCTGTACAGGCCTATGTACACATGAGAATGAACCCTAAAAAGTAAACAACACTGCTTTGTATATTGCATGTTCAATACCATTGCAGTTGTCAGAAGTCAAACTTTGCTGACTTGCAGAGCTGGTTCTGCCGCTAAGAATCTTCAGTATCCATCACCTCTGGCTGCATCCCTGTTCGCATGCTGTGGCACCCCACCCCTGTAGCTGGGAAGGGACCCACTAGTGATGTAGCAGCTGTGGGGCAAAAGTCACAATGCACAATACAGAGGCGCAGCCATCTCATGCACCAAAAAGCATCAAATGTTGTAGATTCCTATAAGCAGCTTTAGCTCTGCAAGAGAACAAAGCAAGAGATCTGCTGCAATGAAGTAGATAAAGGAAGTATTATACATTTTAGACAAAGCAATATTTGTTTTTTTTCTTTTTTTTATGACGTGACAGTATCAGTTTAAAGCGTATCTGAACACAAAAACTAAAATAAAATATCTTGCAGAATATGGTGTTTAATTTAGTTCTCAAGAACATTTTTTGCAAAATTCAAAAATGCATTGTCCTTGTTGCGCATTAAAGAACCTGATCTTAATTATGTAAACTACTAATACCATTAGTCCACCAAACATAGCTGAAGTCCAGTTTGTGTGACACCTATGGTTGTCATATTGATACAATGGAGAAAAAAAAAGCATAAACATGAAAGGATTTATTTACTAAAGCTGAGAGTGCAAAATCAGTCTCACTTCTGCATAGAAACCAATCAGCTTCTAACCTCAGCTTGTTCAATTAGGCCAGGGGTGTCCAAACTTTTTTCAAAGAGGGCCAGATTGGATGAAGTGAACATGGTGGAGGGCCGAACATTTTTCCGAACATTCTTTGAACTATTACAATTAAATGCAAATAAATTATTTTATGCCAAGTTAATTGCAAACGACATACTTTTCATTTCATAACATTAAGATCAACTGACAGCTGAGTTTTCACAATGTATTGAAAATAAATTAAAAAAAAAAACTTACCTGCACTAATGTGAAGGGTGAAAAAGGTAGCTGGAGCTGAAGTCTCTGCTCAGCAGCAGGGAGGGGAAGAGAAACACACTTCACGCTGGAAGCCCGGCCCTGACGTCACCGCCCTCTGTCGCTCCCAGCGCGGCGCAGTCACGCATGCGCACTGCTCTCAAGCAGAAGACTGTCTGCCACAGAAGGGAGGGCCGTGCGACAGCCGCATTTACACAGACCTGGGAGAACGCGCAGCAGTCAGGCATGCGCACTGCCCTCTGCTCTAAAGCAGAAGACTGTCTGCCATAGAAGGGAGGGCCGTGGGAGGGCCACATTACACAGGGCAGGGAGGGCTGTTGGAGGGCCATATTAAACCGACCCCCGGGCCGTAAATGGCCCGTGGGCCGGACTTTGGACATGCCTGAATTAGGCTTTGGCAATAAAACCTGGCAGCTGATTTGTTTCTATTGCAGAAGTGAGCCTGATTTTGTAAAAAAAATCCCAAAGGGTCAGGCACTGTGTTATTTGCAGGATTACAAGGTGAAAATAAAAGGCAAAAATCCTGGAAAAGAAAACTAATGTAACCAACATATCTCGGGCTAGTTAACTACAAGAAAAAAACTATTCTTCCAGTGTCCCCACATACGCTACAAGGGCTAAATGTGTGTTTTTGCCTAGGTGTGGAGGAATATGGTGTAATACTGACCTTACTCCTTGGTTCAGTGGGGTCCCTGCAGTGGTGTGTGACCAGTCCCACAAAGCCCTGTCTCTAAGACGCTCCTGGCATTGGTCACACTCCTGCCTCCTCCATGTACAATTCAGAGATAAAAGTCTTGCTTTGTATGTGATGATAGAGAAGGAATGGCCACAGCCCGGAGCACAGTAGGGAGAGGAGGACAGCTCTGGAGCCAGCCAGAATGGGGGTAAGATAAGTGAAGCAGACTTTTCTCACCTCCATAGAAATAATTAATATTTAAACCCTTGCAATGTAAAGGACCCCACCCACTGAATGGGATTTTGGTATCTTCCAGCCAGGAGTTGGGGTTTAATTATTTGTTTTTGGGTTTGGATATGCTTTAAGACAGTTTTATGAACATCTGATTACTTGCAATACCATACTCTTTTCTGCACATCAATCTTTACTCTATTGAATAGAGGAGCCCATGTCTCTTTCATTGTGTAGCATGGAAAGCTGATGGTTCTTAAAAATGCTTGCTCTGCCATTGTCTGAGTTCATTCTTC